GAATCTATGATATATATATATATATATATATATATATATATATATATATATATATATATACTGTATATACACACACATGCTAAAACTACTGTAGCGAATAGGTGTTGCTCAAATTATCTTTTGCAATGACAAAAAAAAACAAAAAACAGATTGGCTTACTCAATGCTGTCTAATGTTAATTGGTCAGAAAACTGCATGCATGTTTTTTACAATTAAAAAGCATTCAATCTGATATTTTAGATAATGATGAAAATTACTAATTGTGCCAGATTATAAACATTTTGGGATCTTCTTAGACCCTCATCTGACAAATTAAAAAAATTGTCAGTGCAGTGACTTCTAACATCAGAAACTTTAAATTTATACAGAATCAACTCTCTACAGATGCCACTAAAATCTACCTGCATGATTTTTATTTTTATTTTTTTCACTTTTCATTATGTATAACATCATGGTCACAAGGAGGAGAGAGTCACACGTTTCGAAACTACATGAGGGTAAGTATATAATGACAGAGCATTTATTTTTGGGAGAACTATTCCTCTACTGAACATGAAACAGGATGTCATTTAGCCTAAGCAAATATCTCACTACTCTTGCTCATTACAGTTATAGTGTGCAGTAGTTAGTTAAAGATCTTTACCTGTATTGTATTGTTTCTGATGTGGTTGAAGCCCTCAGTTTTGTCATTAAAATGCGCACAATGTTGAAAAGGAACACAAAATTTATCTATATCGAAGAGAAAGAAAAGAGATGTAGGTAAGTGATTGTGCCTATTATTGAAACAGTTTGATGTTTCTGTACATAATATGCAGACATTTCAAGCTGTGGAGAGCTCATAAAGACACCATTGTGTTTTGCCCCTGCAGAATAGCTTACATTAAATACTGTTTATAATGCTTTTACATGAAAAAATAGATTCAACTTAACTAGCATAAGTTCAGTAATTCTCTTCAGTACTCTATCTGAAAACAGGAGACATTGCTCTGATATTAAAAGCTGATATTCTGGCAAGATCTGGCTTACTATTTGCTGTTGTTAACAATTCTTAAAAATCACATTGGTTATTACATTTACATTTTGGCCATCTCAGTCTTTGTAATGGTTTAAAAGTTCATTTTTGTTCACATTCTTTCAAATTCTTCACACTGTTCCTCCACTTCTTGGAGGAATTGGCAACCATAAATCAGAAGTAAGCAATAATATAATAATACTTACAAGAAGAACTAAAATCACGGGCCCCTGATAAATGTAGTCTATGTACTTTCCAGGTTCCTTCCCAAACCAGCATCTGGAACACAGAGATTTTCTTGAGTGTGTTCTCACTTCTCACAGCATATATACACTTCCACAATGAAATATATACTTTATTTTGTGAATATAATTAACAGTGGGTTGAACTGCATTTCAATACTTCTTGGGAGTAAGTTGGACTACTTACATCTAAGTTGCATCTAGATACATCTAACTTTTTCTATAGTGTTGCAACTATAACTCAAGTGAAGTACTTATAGTTTACTGTTTATATATTTTATATTTTACATAAAAACATTTGTATTCAGTATCATTGTCAATGTCATGTTGTAAATTCAGCAATAGGTCATTAACTTACCTTACAGAACGCAATTCTTTGCTTTTGCAGAGTATTTGTTTACTCAAAATGTATTACTGTTACACTTAAAGTACACTTAAAAGTGTACTAAAAAGTGGGACGATTTAGTATGAAGTATTGAAATAGTACACATTCAAGTATATACTTATAGAACTATTAGTATACTTATTATTATAGTTATTTGGATAATTGAAAAAAATATACTTGAATTTTACTAATTCAAGTATATTTTGAATTAAGAAATTCAAAATATAGCCCAAGAAATTCCACTAATTTCCAAGTATTCCAAACACAGGCTCATTAATTGACATCTCTTGCCTGATTTACTCTACAATTATCATGTTCAACACTCTTTCACTCCAATCATAAGCATTTCTTTCTGCAAATCAGCAACTTACTGTTCGTTTTCATTGTAAAGTTTTCCAATGGCCCAAGCTATAATTATCGGACATGGTATACCTGAAAGAGGGAAGAATGCATGCGTTGGCAAATCACACTTTACAAACAGCAACTGCAAAAACATGGGAATTAAACATTGTTTTCCCAACAGGTGATTACCTATTGAAATGTACTAAACAGCTGTGCCATTTTTGTGTACAATATTTCAGTGCACAAAGCTTTTTATACATCAACCACCCACTAAATGCACTGAACCTGTGCTGTGGGAAGTTTGTGTGATTTTTCAAATATGCACCTCATTCCCAAATGTCAGCATTATTTGCCTGCCGCAATTAACACTGCGCTATTACTGCCCACAGAAAGATGGGATTTTCTTTTGATCATGGCATTCGTCAAAAGATGATCAAACGACAGAAGAAGAGTGTTCAAATCTGGCACATTCTTACATTCGAAAACTGAGAATTGCACACTGCTGATTACATGTAATGCTAATTTTTGGGCTTATTTAGGTCAATATCCAATGTATAGTAAATTTGCACAGCACATGCAAATAAACCATGCTATCAGTGTGCACAATTCCTCCTGTATTTTAATGAACGCTGTAGAAAGAGGATGCAACCATACTAAACAAAAGCATTCTCTGAAGTGTTTGATCACACATTCTGTAGGTCAGTCTTATTTCAACAAAGCCATGCTAAATGCTGTATTGTGCGTAATGCTTTAGAGGCCAATGATTTCTTCACCTAAATGAGCAGGGAACAAGAAATCATGAATCTTTTAGGAAGTCGCATGAAGGAGCCATTAAACGTCTCTACTGGGATTGCTGAAAGACAGCAGGAAAAAGCAGAATTTCCAAACTACACGGCTACATTTGTTCAACGATGACAAGCAGACTGCTAACAGAACACATCAGACATTGAGCCAGAAATATTGTCACAAATTACTTGAGTCTACTTAATCAAATATATTCATATTGTAATATGCAGCTGATGCCAATAACTCAGATCTCCACAACCGTACTGAGCTTTTTAATTGCTTTCACTTGTATCACACAGCCGGTCCACTTCTACCTCAGTAATTCAGTCAATATGCAATATGCATATCACCGTTCAAATGTTTGGGATCAGTAATATATTTAATGTTTTTTAAGAAGTGTCTTATGCTCATCAAGGCTGGGTTTATTTGGTTAAAAATACAGTTAAAACGGTAATACTGTGAAATATTATTGCAATTTGCAATAATGGTTTTCTATTTTAATATTCTACTTTAAGATATAATTTATTCCTGTGATGCAAAGCTAAATTTTCATCAGCATCATTACTTCAGTCTTCAGTGTCTCATGATCCTTCAGAATATGCTGATTTATTATCAATGTTGGAAACAGTTGTGCTGCGTAATATTTTTTGGAACCTGTGAACTTTTTTTTCAGGATTCTTTGATGAATTAAAAATTAAACAGAACTGCATTTATTCAACATAGAAATCTTTTGCAACAATACAAGTTTTGCTATCACTTTTTATCAATTTAACACATCCTTTAACATATCCAAACTTTTGAACAGTAGTGTATATTTTTACAAAAGACTTCTATTTATTTATACTAGCATTACAGTAACCAATACTATAATATGTGTTTATTAACATGCTGTTTATTAAAATCAATTCAAAATCAAAGTATTGTTGCTTATGCATTTTTAAACATTTTCATATTACTTAAAAATAATAATATAATAGCCACAAATATTTTTTGTTTCTACAAACTGTTGTTCGTTAATATCAAACAGGGTATTATTATCAATAGTCACCTTCTATTCTGAACATTAGTCAAGAAGTATTCAGTAAACACATGATGATTCACTTTGATTCATCAGAGCTGAGCGCTCTAAAAAACAGCTCACTCAAAGAGAATTTCATGTTTTAAGTTTTTCAAATTGAATTTAATTTGGATGTGACCGAAAATTATAGTCTGAGTGGGTGAGTTGTTTGCTTTGTAATTAGTCCCTCCATTTCCACTAATTTGTTTGACTGATTCATGGCAATTTACAAGCTTGATAGGCAGGCATTATGACACATACAAGTTAATGAGCCAATCATAGCATAATGGAAACATTGCCTCCTCTCATGACTTTTTGCCTTTATGTAGCAGCTCCTTCCTCACATTCAAACCATGCTACAGGAGCTATACTGCAATGCTGTTGTTGTGTTGTCTTGTTTTGACGTGACATTTTTGACGTGACATGTGGCCAAGTATGGTGACCCATACTCGGAATTAGTGCTCTGCATTTACCCATCCAAAGTGCACACACACAGCAGTGAACACAGTGGGCAGCCATTTATGCTCGGGGAGCAGTTGGGGGTTCGGTGCCTTGCTCAAGGGCCTCGTGGTATTGAAGGTGGGAGAGAGTGCTGTACATTCACTCCCCCCACCTACAATCGCTGCCGGTACGAGACTCGAACCCATAACCTTTGGGTTACGAGTCCGACTCTCTAACCATTAGGCCACGACTTCCCTGAAAATAGCATGTTTTGCTTTTTTCAAATTGACTCCTGAAAAATGCAGATAGCAACAACCGCATTTGCAGAAATTCTATGTAGTGTATAGAACAAAACTGAACAACTTGTTGTTAATTATGTATTTAAACATCATGTATCAGAATTGTGATGCAAGAAATCACAGGGAAGGAGGTACCGCTTCAATCAGTGTTGCCAGATCTTAACATAAAAAAGGCAAATGGGAACAAGCCTTTAATAAACTCCAATAAAAATCCAAAAGTGTTATCTTGGAAATAAGCCACATACCAAAATATTGTGTCCTGCACCTGCCAACTTTATTATCACCATAAAATGGATCGCTATACGAGCCGAGCCCAAACAACAAGCTCAAAGACACTTAATAAATGTCATTTATAAACAGTGGACATGGCAACCCTTCAAAAGCATACTCTGTGAAACAGCCTTCCAAACATAAACAAAACACGATGGCTCTGTCTGCTATGGTTACAATGGTGTCAATCATCACAGTTTCAAGAATGAGTTCTGTTCCATACACACACTAAACTGTATTCTGGGGATTCACTCCCATATTTAAATATGGTTGTCACACCTGAAAATTGACAGTGTGTACATGGCCTGAATGTGCTTAACTGCATTGGTGGACTGTTAAACACAAAGACTGAGAACGCTGTGAATGTCAAATATCAAATAGTCCTTAGAATGGCATTTAGCCTTCTCAGTAATACACGCTTCCAAATATTATGTGGTACACTTCACAATAATCTGTACTTTAAATACTTTATACCATTTAATTATATTAGTGCCAGAATCTTTTAAGTACTCAGTGAATGGACAACATTATTTTTTAACTACTGCAATTGCATGCCATCTGTTATTTACGACAATAAAATTCTCTCATTTTTAAAATGGTAACGTTGCCACCTTGCAGTTGTTTTGGGTTGTGTTGTGTTGTGCTTCTAATTATAAAGAGCTTAGATGTTTAAAATGTCATATTGCATATAATACAATTATAGAACATGTAATCAAAAATGGAAACTTTTTTTAATTACCATGACCTGTATGACAGCACTAAATTGACATTTCAGCCTCAATGCAATCAATACCTCAGTGCAGAAAATGTCATCACAATTAAGCTGTTGTTGTAAAATGTTGTTTTCCAAACAGTTGCTTCTATATTATATACTGTATATACTGTATATACTGTATATATATATATATATATATATATATATATATATATATACAAACTATAGAAGACAATGACTACATCAACTGGTTACATACATTCTTCAAAATATCGTGCTCATCAGAAGAAATAGATCCATACAGTTTTGGAACAACTTACTGGAGAGTAAATGATGGCAGAAATTTTTTGGGTGAACTATCCCTTTAAGCCGAGATGCCAGCGGTTCAAATGACTCTTGCGGTTTATCTCTTACCATCTTCAGCTCCTTCTTGGAAATTGCAGCCTTGGATGACAACCTCAAACCTGGGTGCATTTCCCATACAAAGACGTAACTCTCTGATTAACAACCATTGTACAATGCATTGTTGTGGAAACCAACTAGCTAGTCATGACTGTTTCTCAAACACGGTCACATCTCTGTCATTTGAACCACATTAGTTCAACAATATAGGGCCGTTGTTAATGGCGTCACACGCATGTGGTGGAGCAATAACTTCTGCTAATTAATTGAGTCAAGATCTCCGAGATGCTGCTGTATTGATCATGGCACCTGATGATTTACTTATTTTTGTTCCTGTCATTTTGCTTTATTCCATGTTTGATTAATCAGGGGTTCCCTCTTACGTCATACTCTAGGGTTCCCTTAGGCATTTATGAACATTCTTCAAAAACTGTGCTTACTGAGGATGCACTAAAATATATAGATTAGATTGTATATATTTAAATACAATGGAACATATATGTTGTACTGCATATTGTGCCCATGAGCATAATTCACTGAAGTCCATATGTATTACTAACAAGAAACTATGCTTCTAAGCACAGGTTGAGAGTTGTAGTTCCAAAAACGCAAGTTTACGATGCTGTTTGCGAACGTTCGTTTGAACTATGGTTTCGGGAAACAACGAATCATGGAACTATGTTAGTAACAATGCAACTATAGTGACCATAGTTAGCTAATGATGCTTTTGGGAAACACACCCCAGATTCAATGTGCCTGATGCGACAGTACCAGCCTAATCTCCCTTAAATATATAGTGGAAGGATATGTTCCGGCTTGACTTCTGAGGCAGTCGAAGAGCTTAGAAAAGTGACTGATTTGGCACCTTGTGCCACCAAACATTCAGCTTGTGAGATCGGCCACTTCATAGCAAGGTTTGCTGAAATACACTCCTGAATTTTGATTTATCACATAAACTGCTTTCGCAAACTGCTTCTAGGCCGTTCGCCGATCCAGATTTGCTCTACTTCTTAGAAGATGTTGAAAATGTTACAATTTTTTGAGTCTGTGTCAAAAAAAATCCCATCAAAAATGTGGATAGCAAGTTTTTGCGTGCTCATTAATAATTTGACACTTATGTAAAGGGGTCAGTCTGAGGACAGAAAAAAATTGCAGGCTTTTTCACTATCAGGCCAACAGTTAAAAGTAGGATAGATGATTTCGGACTGGGTGGCAAAAGCAAGCTAGCATTAAAAGCATAAGATCCCACCCTCCCTGCAAATCACTCTCCAAAGCCACGCCTCCTCCAAATCACATGAATGCACACAGGCAGAGCAGAGGCTGACCAGCGACACAATGAGAGACAGTGCTGGTGGAGGTCTGAATGCAATGTTGTCAGATTAGCTCATGTCTCATTCACCGGTGAGAAAACATTACAGTACAAACGCATAATATTACAATAATAACGTCTTCCATTCTCGCTCGGTCTGCAATAGAGTAATGGAACGTGCTGATGATGTACAGTATCATGTCTGCGAACAGGGTGCATGAAGGTATTCAAATATATACATTGACAGGCAGGCAGGACAGCCTATCAGAGCCCTCGGACCGAGGGATATGATTGGATGAACATTTTATGGTCCTACACCTTCCACAGATTATATAAATGCATATAAATACATCTAGACCACTTAACTTAGTGATTGCTATCGGGATGTGAAGAGACTCTCAACAAATGAACCAAATCACCTACCCTGCCTTTAACTGCGTTAGCAGCTATATGTTAGCTTAAACTGTTAGCATGCTAACTTTTGTGCTTTTGTGTGGCACACTAAGCAGCAAGCACCTAAAGTACCTTCGCAATGTTCAAATGCTTTGTGATATGTCATGTATGGTACATTTATTATACTTTTATATCTATTTTATATATTTTCATTCTTGCATTGAATCTTATGAATCTGATCTTGAAGTTTAAGTGTTCTGATCTTGTGTGCTGCAACATCTGTCCCATTTATATTTCAGCTCTGTATGTTATCATATTTTTTGTTGTTTACGTATTTATTTTTTTATTGGCATGATGTATGACTATGACCTGGGAATGTTTTTGACAGGTTTCACAAAATTCATAGGAATCACGTGAAAGACAGTAATGTTCCAAATAATCCAAAATGAATAGCAGACTACATTTAAGCTTTCTTATTCACAGTCGATGCAAATTGCAGATGATTAGGTCTTTCAAAATAAGCAAACTTGTGTAGAGAAATCAACTCACACCATCCAATGAAGAGGAAGACCCATTTCCGAAGCTTGTCTGTGGAATATGTCATCACAATAGCCGTGTGAAGATAGCAGCCCTCCACAAACATCCAGAAAAAATTGGTCACCACAAAGTAATTATAGATTGTTGTTATAAGACGACACCAGGGCTGTACGGAGAGAAAAGGACAGGGTGTTAATTGAGGTGAACATTTGGATGTTGGATGTACAGACTTGATACTAAAAATTAGACCTATTATACTGTAGGTCTTAAAACAACCTCACGTCCCAGGTTTTTCAATCATTTTATAATGTGTTTTATAAGGTGCTATACTGCAACTTGAACTCATTGGGGGGGGGAAAAACATCTACCAAATGTGCTTTTTGACTGTACACTCTCAGAAAAAGGTACAAACTGTCACTGATGCAGTACCGTAAGGTACAAAAACTTACAAAGAGGTACATCTTTGCACCTTATTTACCCCTAAGTGGTATGTATTAGTACCTAAAGTGTACATTTTGAAATGGTATTCATCAAGGCTATTCATTCTTCGTCTTTTGCATAAGAAAACACTCCTCTCATGTCACTCTCAATAAACACATTGTTCCTTAGTTCTTCAATAAAGCTTTTGACTAAAGTCATTTTTTAGCATTGTATGTTGTAAACATTGCAAAATGAAGTACCTTTGACTTTTGATCTCGTCACTGTCAATTACTTTGTCAAGTTTGATATAAAAATGCTGGAAGTCTCTAATGAGGCACTAGATACCAGCAGACAAAAATATCACTAGAGTGTTTTTCCAGAGAGAAAAAAATACTACCCCATGCAATTCCTTCAGTATTACAGTAATACAGAAAACTATATTGGTGAGGAATCGTTGGCCAACACTATACATGTAAATGATAGAAACCTGCTGATGGGTTTACATACTAATAAGCTGATAAGTAAGTTTAAAAGTGTTTCATACCTCATTCGTCTCATAAATGTTTTGGTCAATCAGCTGAAGCAAAAACCACATTACATTCCTCAGAATGAAAGTCGTAATTAAGTTCCAGTGGATTATGTTGCGAAGGCATCGGATGCTCCTTGAATTTAAAATAATAAATCAATGAAACAATCATTTCAGCAATTACACTTTGACACAGTTTTAGCATTGCACGAGTTGATTAAGGAATTACATATGCATGGAAATGAGACTGTGCAAAGAGTTAGACAACAGTCATTTCTGAAAGATTAATCATTCTGAACATGTATTTAAGGAAATGTTCAGTAACACTTTCTATAAAGTTTGCCTATTTAAAAACAATGTTTATTTTAGTATTATTTTTTTTAAATGATTCGAATGTTGATTTTTCCTAAAAAAGTGTAAACACTGTGACTCTGTGGTGCTATCAAAATAGGCTATTGCTGTTTGTTTGAGCATCTCAACCTGCAACCTTAGCTCATGCAATTAGAGTAAATAATGACAGAAACTATCCTTTAGCATATATATGATCTGATATGATCGAAGTTTCCTGAAATATACATTTTTCCTGCACTGAATGAACATTTATTAACTTTAAACAAGGCCACAGCTCAAGGTATTACTTCACACACTATAGTGCTGAAAATACACCGACACACTTACCTCAAGCACAGAAAGAGAATAAAGGCAATAACGAGAGCTCCAACAGATATACAGTGACCAAAGTAGTTTATGATGAGGGCTATCTTGTAGTGCATGGGGTACTTCCTCTGTAAAATAAATAAATAACTAATTAAAAAATGTGAAAAATACACCCGGTTCATTATTAATTCTGCCATGATTAAAGAAGAAACTCATTGTTCCAGCATATGATATGGTAATAAATGATTGCAATTATGGCACAGATCAATATGTATTACTTAGTTACCAGTATTTGGAAACTTCCAAAAGACTAATTTAATTTAATTTATATATTTCTCATGAGTCCTTGAATGAGGTCATAAAACTGTGACACAACTCTAAAGGAATCCAATTGTCTTTTGCAGAATGTTTGCATGCAGAAGTCGTGTGACGTGAGAAGTTAACTGATGCATGAGCAAGTAAGATGGAGTGAACAGAATTTATATCGATTACACAGCAATACTATGTACATGCTTAATAGTTTCTTATGTCAAATATGGGCTGCTTTATATAATGTGACAATAGCTAAATAACTGGGCCAAACTGATTAAATATATATATATATATATATATATATATATATATATATAATGCACAAGATTTAAAAAAAATAATATATCTTATTGACTTGAAAAACCATATTCAAATTTCAGTTATTCATATATTCATATTCAAGACCATATTCAAACATGAAACAACAGCAGAGTAAACATTGCAGCTGGTGCAGAGGACATTGGGAAAACAGAGCAAATGTAATTACAGCATTCCCTGTGGGAAAACAGATCAAATTTACAGTAACTCACTTGGCAGCACTATTTGAAACTTTATGCAAAGGCATATTTGAAGCTGTATTCAAACCTTATGTGTTGCCAAAATTTATGTAAGCATTTATTGCCAACACTACTGAAACTGAATGTCACACCTGGCAATTTCTCACACAGCATTAAAACATGACTAGTAAGTCATTCATTCTGCAAACGAACTAGCTAACAAATAAAAACAAAAAATAACCACATTCTCGTAAATGAACAGACATTGTTAATAAAAGAATTAGTTCCCTTTCATAGATACATTTTGACGCTACATCAGTAGGTGATGCTGTAGGAACCTCCAGTGTGACGATTGTCTGAAACCCGTAAAGCATCATGCCAATCCGTTGCCTGACGGCACTAGAATCACCTCTGCCTTAAAAGGACATGCCCCATCACTCCTTGTATTTCTCTTCTTCAGGAAGACGGTTTATCTGCCCATGCTATCTTCAGAGCTTTATCGTGTTTCAGAAACCCAAGTGGAGTTTATCTTCTTACTGTAAGTGTGTTACTTGGCAGCACTATTTGAAACTTTATGCAAAGGCATATTTGAAGCTGTATTCAAACCTTATGTGTTGCCAAAATGTATGTAAGCATTTATTGCCAACACTACTGAAACTGAATGTCACACCTGGCAATTTCTCACACAGCATTAAAACATGACTAGTAAGTCATTCATTCTGCAAACGAACTAGCTAACAAATAAAAACAAAAAAAAACACATTCTCGTAAATGAACAGACATTGTTAATAAAAGAATTAGTTCCCTTTCATAGATACATTTGACGCTACATCAGTAGGTGATGAGGAACTTGCTGAATGCACATGCATAATATAAAACAGCTTGCTGCACTGACTCATTTAAAGTTCTACCCTATTTCAAGGGCTGCTGGCTCTATCTAGAGTAAAGCTTCCAGTTAAGAGTTCACCTGTTTGATATGTTGTTTTCCATTTGGGTATTTGAACATGTAATATTCAAATGCAAAGAAGGATTTACTTTTTTCTTATTCCTAGGTGTTCATTTGCATATCAGAAAATCCAGCGTGCTTAAATTGTCTTGCTTTGCACTGGTCTTTTCACTCTTTTTTCCCATTTCATGAAAAATTCTTATCTCTTTTCCAAGCTGCACTTCTGAAGATTTTTCAAAATCCTGTAAATATGTTCTGTTAATGTTATTAGGGCCATTTTATTAGAGGCTTCAGAATTCACAAGGACTCAGCTGTTTTTATCCATACTGAATGAAACACTGAAAGTACACAGGACCCTTTTATTTTCCCAAAGATTATTATGATTATTTATTTATTTTATTTTAGGTTTTGGGGGCTTTTGTGGCCCTTAACATTCTCAAAACGTCAAAATTTGTGTACACACCAGAGTCATCAGGCATTAGGCCCACGCAAAAGCTTTTAAAAACGTTTAAATACTACCCCTAGAGGATTCATAAGATCGTCACCAAACTTGGTCAGCATGATGCTAAGACATTGAGCATGCTAAGATGCAAACATATTTTTGATATCTTGAATGATTTCACCATGGCGAGGCAATACATTTAAGGCAAAATCATTGGGTGATGTAGTGCCAAAGACAGATCAATTTTCAGAACCAATTTTTTTGCTGTATGTGGTGTTCCTAGTGCTGTCGCTGTAATGATATTGGTAGACTGTACTCCTGGACATATCTTTGGAAAATAAGACCACAGATGATATGGATGGTAAAGCTAAGATATCATTCTGATTTAAAAGTAAAAGAGATAAAAGTGTAACAGTGCATTAATCCAAGTAATTATTGAAAACTCTAACAATATGGATCATAAATTCAGTATTTCTGTCACTTGATTACATGTTCTGTTAGAAAAACAAAAAACTGAAAAAAGGAGCCAGTGACAGTTTAAAAGTTCAAAGCGTTTTGCGGAGGTCTTGTTATCATTTATATGTAATATATATGTTATATGTTATATATATGTATATATAACTTATCAAGTTATCATTGCAGAAACAAAAGCGGCTGCTTGCCTTGTCTTTTTCTGTCGTCTCATTTTGCGAGCATATGAACTTTGTGTGAGCTTATTTCATCCACTGGATCAAAATGGGCTCACAGTTGGAGTAGTTACTTTTCAGTGCCCATGTGCCATTGTCCAAGCACTCTCTGTAAGCAATTCCTGCAGAGAAGAGAATGAAAGCAGAAGTTCATAAGTCAGTGTAGTTCTTAAAGCCCAAAAAGGCTTTTTTATAGTCATTGCACATCTGAAATACTTCATTGTTCTCTGGTCATAATAAGGTCAAATTCACAAGTTAAAATAAATTGGTAATCAAGAACTTCTTTGAAGAAAATGTCTTAACTGAGGAACTTGCTGAATGAAACACCAGGTGTGAACGGGAATGTGTCTCCTCGTCTCCCTGTGTATATGCATTTTAAACACATTATGTTATTTCACCACCCATGCAATAAATGCAGGTCCCTGAATGAACGTGGTTTTATAGTGTGTTTAATTTAACTGCTCAGGTAATGTTAATTGTATGACCCATTTCAGGGGTGGCCAAAATTACGATTTAAAATCAGTCAGAGCTAATGTATCTTCATATTTTTTTTAATATATATTATGAGTAGACTACTTTCTACTCAAAGCAGAGCAGTCCTGTATCACTCTATAGGTTTTTTTTTGTTGTTGCAATAATTACCATATTACATGGTTTATTACATGGTTACTTGCCACATAAGTAAATATTTTGGTTAAAAAAAAAAATTTGAGTTGAATTATTTTATTAGCTCTTTAAACAAAAAGCTTCCGTGAAGAATAACAGTTCATAACAAGCAGCTTTGACCCAAGACTAATGAACAAATAGTTATTGATATAGACACATTTGCTTCAATTTTAGTCCATTTTAATGCATGTCATGTGACTGTGACAGACTTTAGAGTAGCTAATGTGAGTGATTGATATGTAATTTTGTAATTAAATATGTATTTGTTTAACTAATTTAAAATGCTACTCATTTAATGAATAAGCTTTTGATTACTTAACATTTTATTAAAGATGATTTTCAAGGAATGATTTTGGCACAGTGGCCTCCCCCTGTACGATGCCCTTATGCACTGCATACTGCATACCCCATTTTTGCACCCCATGCAACCCATGTTTCACAGACCCACAGCACTGTAAGTTAATGAAATCTACTGGTCCACAGAATAGCGTTGGCAGCATGTGAAACACTATCCTGTAATTTATTTATCTTAATGAATAATCTGACTCTTAACCTGTTTTCAACCACTGAGTTTTGCATATCACAAGCAGAGGCGGACTTACCCATTAGGCAAAGGTAGGCAACCACCTTGGGCCCCCAAAAGCCAAGGGCCCCCCTTGGGCCCCCTAAGGGCCCCCCCCGAACACGCAAATGGTTGCTTTTTATGGTGTTTATCACCACGACAACCGTCTGCGTGTCCGAGTTGAACACACTTCTCATGTATCCTGCTTGTAGCAAATAAAAATATCATTCATCTGAAACACTATCCTGTAATTTATTTATCTTAATGAATAATCTGACTCTTAACCTGTTTTCAACCACTGAGTTTTGCATATCACAAGCAGAGGCGGACTTACCCATTAGGCAAAGGTAGGCAACCGCCTTGGGCCCCCAAAAGCCAAGGGCCCCCTAAAATGCTTTTCATCTACGAGATGCGCATTAAGCGCGAACACACGAATGGTTGCTTTTTACGGTGTTTATCACCACGACAACCGTCTGCGTGTCCGAGTTGAACACACTTCTCATGTATCCTGCTTGTAGCAAATAAAAATATCATTCATCTGAAGCTCTAATTAAATATTGAGCAACAGTGTGCATTATTTGTTTTTAGTTTTAAATGCTGCTTACTTATTCATAAGAACCCAAGTAGAGGATGCATACGCAGTTTGGTTGATATAATCCGTGTGTGCAAATGTATAATTTCCTTTTCATTATTTTTATTTTTTTTTTCATTTAAATTTGTAGTTAAAATAACTAAAATAAGTGTATTTTAAAGTTTAGAATTAGACAGCCTTTGGCACACAGGCTTACGCTGGTCACTCATCACAGTCATCAGTGGACTTTTCTCCTCAATATTGGCTATATTTTTTCACACTTTTTTCATTCTCACTAATTCAATTCGTTTTTAGTTTTTATATGAATGAATGAAGGGAACCGACTGTCTTCAGAAAACTTTCCATGGCATTTTCATTATATCTGATAAAGTAACGTTTATGAGCGCAGCGCTGCTTTGTTTACATTCGTTACCGGGGAAAACGCTGTATTTCTGAAAAAAGCACTTCCTGCTGGCTGAGAATCAATGTGCATTTGCAATAATCATGTCTGCAGTTTTTGTTCAGACCAATGCGAAAATCCACCCACATAACCCCGTTTTAAATTAATATCATAATTTATACTTCCGACTCATCTGTTTTTTTTTATTGTTTAAAGGCTCAGTTGTGAGGTTTATCATTTTATAATTTATTTTGTTTTTGTGAAAATGAATTGCTATTTCGTGGTCTACAACATGAAAGAACGCCATTATAACATGTGCATGAAAAATGTAGAAACATTGGACACAACTCTGGGGCACCATCATGCAGCAGCAAGCATCACAACAAAAAAGGAACCTAAAGGCTAAATTTGTAAATGTGTGCAAATACATAGGACCCCATTCATATATTTTGCCTGGGGCCCTCAAACCACTAAATCCGCCCCTCATCACAAGAACACAAAATGTGGCTTTACTGTATAAATATCATGCTGAATAGAGGTGAAACGACGAGACAGGAGAGAATAATGCCATCATGTTCTCAATCACAACAGTTCCACAAATCTAACGTTTTCATCACTGCATCAACAAAACAACCCACTATGTATTATTTATGTCACAGTGTTTGTTGTGGTGACCTGGACTGGTCACTTGAGGGCGCTCTTTTGTTTTCGTTGTTTGTGTTAAACTCCATTTCCCATAGTCCCCTGCTCACTAATCCTGGTTTAATCGGTAACACCTGTTCATCATTTACCCAGCTATATATATCATGCCTTCTCTGTCTGTCATTTGCGTCTGGATTGTATTGTCTTCTTAGTTGGTGTTGTCGGTGTCAGGTTTTGGATTACCTTTTGCAACGTTTTGTTCTGTTTTGTTCTGTTATTATTTTCAATAAACTGCACATGGAACTTACCCTGTTTCCTCCTGGCATTCCGTGACAATTTATTTTTGGAAGTTTGAAAAGTATAAACAGCAATCTTGGGAGTGTTAATTATTCTTTAATTTAGCTCTAGTTGACTTTGTAGTGTTTTATAATTTTTGCCATGTTCCAGCATGCATCATTTTAGCTTATTTTAGCACTGAAGCATGTTAAGATCCTTCCTTTATCAACATCACGAGAAAGTTATTTTGTAAATTCAAATCGAATTATTTAAAGTGAAAATATATCTTCAAAGTTAACTTGTAATATTCATGCAATTAAATCATCATTGACCCTGAACAATACAAAAATAAACTGGTGGTCAGATAAAAATTCCAGGAAGACTTATAAAATCAGAGGGCTTATAAAACATGGGGCTTGATTCTCCACTTTCTCCATCTGAAGCAATTAGCATTATCAACTTTTTCCCCCATGATACCCACTAGACAACAATAGTCTTTTTTTCCCCAAGATTTTCAAAAACCCATCTGGATCATATCCGAATATGCAAAAATTCAGATTTTTGCTGGCAGTCTGTACAAGGCCTACATTATCATAGTGTTTAAACAGTTTCACCTGTGCCTTGTTATCCTATTGTTTGTCTGTGTATATTGCCCTATGTTTGAGTCTTTGGATGTCGGTTTTTGTCTTTACTAGTTTTGGTAAAGCTGTTGCGTTTTTGGATTCTTGTCATCCCTATTTGGATTTATGTTACATGTTTGTATTCTTATCACCTGCCATATCTGTTTGGATTATCATCACTTGTATTTCAAATGCCTTCCTCATCCCTGCTACGTGTTAAGAGCGCAATGGAGGCATTGCCTCTCACCTGTCTTTCCCTCATTCATTCTTAATTACCCCCACCAAACCCACCGCATGCTTTAGGGCAGTGAATCGCAACCCTTTTGAGTACCGGACCCCAGTCCAATTCAGAACCATCCTCAAGGACACCCAGAACAAAATTGACTCATTAGTATCATGTATGTCTTTGTGAGGAGTGGGGACCAAATGCAATCAAGTATAATTTAAGTTAGTTGACTTGTCCAGTATGTGGCCATATCATCAACTATATTAGATTTTTTTAATGGGAACATGCCATGTCAAAATATACAAAATATACAAAAATTCATACTTTATACAGACCCCCTGGCATTACGTCAAGGACCACAAGGTTTCACGCAGCCCTGGTTAAGAAACTCAATGGGCTCAGGGGAGGCAAGAGAGCCGTGGCCTCCCGCTTTAACTTTACCCACTGGTTTCACTGATGGACAGTGTTACTTTTGAAAAATGATTGACTTATATACTTTTTAATGTCATATATTGTGATACTTGTGTTGTTTTATTATTGTACTATGAATTATTTTCTTGCCTCCTTGAAGGAAACACCCCTGCTGCAGGTTAAAATACAAATACAAAATCCACAAACACAGATAACAGAAATATGTTTTTTTCTCTAAACTGAACATCAAAATGGCTGCAGGTTCTCTTTGCAAACTCTAGTAAGCATGCAGGCAGGAAAGACAAAGCTATTTAACTATCAGTGGGTATCCTCTTTAGCAACGAGGGGAATGATAAAAGGAGTGAAGCACCCAGGAACATGACAAAGAAGAAAACCGAATTAGCAATGTCAGATTTGAGAGGTATTTATTTGTTTGTAATGGAAGGGCTGAGTATCTTGAAGGCTGCTCAGTTTCTTAATGACACACCAGGGGTTGTGTTCTGCAGGAAATCAAGGACCTCGTGCTACATTGAAGAACACAGCCATAAATGAACATTTTAGAATAACGAATGTGCCATTAACCAGCACAAATGGGGAGAGCATCTTTAAAAGATGCATAAACCTCTTTAGCAACATCTTCTGCTGCCATTAATATTTATTAAGCAAACTGGAAAGTGGCGGTTCATAACAGCTTACCTGAATCTGGAGTTAAGCACAATCTATTCATTATTTTGAGTGCTGCCAGTAT